AATAAAAATCCAACATCGACAACAACACTCCAATCTCTATAGCTTTTTTTTTTGTGGGAGAAGACAAATTTACCTGTTAAAAGAAATACCTGCATCATTTGTGATGGGCAGGGATAGCCACAGTCAGCTGCCTCCTTTCTCTTTTCAAAAAAATTCTTGGTAAATTAAGTTCCTGGAAGACTAGTGCTTTAGCCTCATCTCATTTTCATATATTTTAAATCCACAATGGTACATTTTCAAAAGAGTATTATATAATATCTGTGACAACAGTGGGAGTACCAAACTCTCACAGAGGCTGAAAGGAAATCTATCTAATTGGAAAGACTTTCTGGAAGCACATAAATCAAGGAACCAGTGTTCAACTCCATTTAAAAAATTCTGTCAGGAAGGGAGAAATGAAAATTTCCTAACAAGGCATTATACTATTCACAAGGCTATGAAAGCACTGGAAGTCATATTATTCTCTGAATAAACACAGACAATTTCATTTATTCTACCTCCTTAATTTCCAAAAACACAGAGGTAATTGCCATTTCCTAAAGGGGCTCTATCCTTATACTGGGGAATACAACAGGGTGAAGTTTCAGAGACCTCTATGGCTACATAAAAGGTATCATTTACATACTTCCTTCCTTAAATATGCTAAAACTATAGTATCACCACGCCTGACTTTGATCTATTTAAGTAAAGAAGGAAAGGCAAGCAAGCAAGCAAGGCAGAGCAAAGAAGCTCCACATTTGCTGCTTCCTTTTTTCTGGTGGAAAAGTTGCTCTCAAATAGCTCCTACATTTGAAGGAAAAGAAATAAAAGGAAGGGGCATACAGGTAATAGATATCTGTCTATTTGGGAAAGAACAGGTTAGGAACCAGGCATAAATGTATAAAATTGTGTGGATTGGTACATTTTACATGTTTCTTTATTGAACAGCTAACACGGTATTAAGGCTTCCAATCACTAGCTATGCAACCATAGGCAAGTTACTTAACCTCTCAGTATTCTCAACTGTAACAGGAAGACAGTAATAAAACAAAATAAAAATAAGCATGCCTCTATTCTCTCGTTGTTAAAAGCAAACGCAAAAATGTATGAAAAACACCTGGCATAAGGACTGGCACATAGTACTGTGTAAATGTTGGCTATTAATATGATTATTTATTTAATGGACTATAATATACTGCAAGACAGACTGGCCAAGATTCATAATTCTCTGACTGAGGGAAAAACTGGTGTCAGAGTTGGGGGAGCCTCTAATTCAAATGCAAGAATCCAGAGATTTAATTTCAGTAAGTGAAGCCATTATAATTAATGGCACTACTAAAGTAAATATACTGTTTCAGTTACGTAAATTAAGAAGCATCTCAGATACGCTAATAATATTTTAAATTACTACCCCTTTTCTTGGATAAAGAGAAAAGAGGTGAGAAGTAAAAAGGAAACATAGTGGCAAGATAAACATTTTTTCCATTAAGGCAATACAGAGAATAAAACAAAAAACATAGCAACCTTCTAGTTATAGTCGATTCAATTTATTATTGCTTTTCCTTTTCTGACTAAGGGAAGAGGAATGTCAACTAGGAATGGGGACTTATAGAAAAAGAGAGAAAACTATATTAAGCACTTTTTGCCACAGCACCAGGATTAGCCATAAAGTCTAAAACAGAAAATTAATTTTATGGCATATAAGGCCAACAATATGTAAAAATAAATGATCATGAATTTTAATTTTAAAAGGCATGGCAAACGTACCTGCTTCTTTTAATGTGCTACATTTCTGATATATAGATGTCCGCAAGGTGGGTGCCCTTACATTATACAGCCTTATCTTATCAATCCGAGAGTCAAAGACCCGAAGCAAAGGATCTTTCTCTTCCCACTGAGACATAATTTTATTATCAATAAAGGTGGCAAACATCTGTGTTTCAATGAAGCGTGAAAGAAATGGCAGGTAAGGCTCAGGCTGGTCAGACAGAAAGGAAGCCTGTAATGAGATAATTAGGAAATCATTAGTGCAAAGAGACCATTTCAGTATTACATGATAAGCCTGAAAATTATGTTGCTAAATTATTCTTTTTAAATCTTGTAACACACAAAACTGACACTTGAAATTCAAAAATCTTTAAAAATCTACTTCTTCATTCTTCTAAATTCATGGAATTTAGGTCACTTGGGTCTTTAGCACTGATTTTACCTTATAGAACTGACTTACATTCTGATCCTTGTGACCATTATGTAGAAAAGAGGACATCATTAATGAAAGATGGTAGATAAGTTGCTATACGACTGTCAATCACCCACTTCACTTACCATTTTGATCCCTTTCTCCAGTGAGCTGTAATTTCTTCTGATCTCTGTTCCTAGCCTATGCAATGTACCCCTAAGCCATAATGCAGGGAGATGATTAACTGATACAGTAATGATACATTAGCAATAACCTTAAAAACTACAACATGGAATCTGTGCTTATGGGTGAAATCTTTTTGTTCTTCAAGTGGACATTTTTCTAGGCTGTATGAGTGTTAATTCAAGATCAAACTCCTTCCAGGCCTGTGCTGACACAACAGTCTGGGCCTTAACAACTAAACAAAGCATTGTCTGGAAGCTGGGTGTGGTGGTGAGTGCCTGCAGTTCCAGCTATTCCGGAAGTTGAGGTGGGAGGATTGGTTAAGCCCAGGAGTTCAAGACCAGTCTGTGCAACATAGAGAGACCCTGTTTCAAAAAAAAAAAGCAAAACAAAAACAAAAAAAGTATTGCCTCAAAAAACCATCAGAAGCAATCCTTTGGAAAACGTGCAAGGTGTACATCTTATTGTATGCTTGTCTGATGCATGAAATGGTTCAGTACATTATAATCAGCTCCTAATCCAAAGTATTTAATTTTTCTATTTTTCTTCAGGTTCATGTGTATGAAGGAATTCTAGCCTCAATTTCTAGCTGAAATTTAGAAGTGAATTACTCTTTTGGTTGCTGGGTTGATTTTGCTTTTCATTCTTTTGAGCAGATGCAGTATGCAAGCCAGAAGGGGAAAGATAGAAGAGTAAGCTCCGATATAAAATTACCTTTTTAATACTCATCAG